CGGCTGCGTCTTGAACCCTTTCTGCGCAGTGGACTTCAGGTCAAACCCTAAACCCTAAACCCTAAACCCTAAACCCTAAACCCTGAGCCGTGAAGGGCCCTAAGCGCCGGTGCCCGCCGCGGAGAGGCGAAGCGCCGAGCGCCGCGCGCAAACGAGAAACCAGGCCGAAACCCTAAACCCTAAACCCTAAACCCTAAACCCCCGCTGCAGCGCGAAACCCTGCTGCTAAACTCTAAACCCTAAACCCCCGCTGCAGCGCGAAACCCTGATCCGAAACCCTAAACCCTAAACCCGCGCTGCAGCGCGAAACCCTGGTGCTAAACCCTAAACCCTCTTTAGAAAGAAGGCGAGCAGTATCTGCACAGGGGTTTAGAAATGGAAAACCCTAAACCCTAAACCCTAAACCCTTAAGCCTTTACACGGAAAGCGTGAAGCAGCAGCAGCGGATGTTCGAGCGCTTACGACCCACAGCAGCGCCTTTCAAGGCCGAGGGTTTAGGGTTTAGGGCTTAGGGTTTAGGGTCTAGGGTTTATAGTGGATTTGCAATACAGTAACGACGCCGTTGCTGCTGCTGCTGCTGTTCCCGTTGCTGCTGCTGCTGCTGCTGTTCCGGTTGCTGCTGCTGCTATTCCCGTTGCTGCTGCTGCTGCTGCTGTTCCCGTTGCTGCCGCTGCTGCTGCTGTTCCCGTTGCTGCTGCTGCTGCTGCTGTTCCCGTTGCTGCTGCTGCTGCTGCTGTTCCCGTTGCTGCTGCTGCTGCTGCTGCTGCCTCTCCAGTGTTTTTGTGCCCCCTTTTGCGAATTTGCCCAATTGTTTATTTTTATTTAATTATTTATTTATTTTATTTATTTATTTATTTATTATATTTATTTATTTATTTATTTATTTATTTATTTCTACAGAAACAAAAGCTGGACTTGCCCCTTTTCGCTGCAGCGAAATTCCTTCCCCAGCCACTATGCCGCCCACATATCCGAACATGTAAGAAAAATAAATTAAATAAATAATTAAAATAAATAATTAAAATAAATAAATAAATAAATAATAAATAATTATAATTATAATTATAATTATAGCTATGATTATAATTATAATTATAATTATAATTATAATTATAATTATAATTATAATTAATTTATTGATAATAGATAGAACAAGAATAGGAAAGTGGGAAACAAATGGGTGGGTAGCAGTGGCTGGCTGGAGCCGCTTTGTTCCTATTATTGCTTAATAATTAATTAATTAACGAGTTAATTAATTAATTAATTAATTAACAATTAATTAATTAATTAATTAATTAATTAATTAATTAACAATTAATTAATTAATTAACAAGTTTATTTATTTATTTATTTATTTATTTATTTATTTTCAGAATTTGCCCGCGGAGTTGCTGTACCCAACCATTGAGTACATCTTGCCCCCCAGCATGTCTTTGCCCAGCAGCGCAGCAGCAGCAGCAGCAGCAGCAGCAGCAGCAGCAGGAGCAGCAGGAGGCGCCAGCCAGCTGCTGCCTTCTCCTCTCTTTGTGCTAGTTCTGGACACTTGCATAATTGAGGAGGAAATCGAGCAGCTCAAGGACTCGCTGCTGCAGGTGTTTGCTGCTGCTGCTGCTGCTGCTGCTGCTGACGTTGTTGCTGCTGCTGCTGCCGCTGCTAATGTTTCTGCTGCAGCTTCTTGTGCTGCAGCTGGCATTGCTGCTGCTGGTGGGGTGTCTGCGGTAGCTGCTTCTGCTGCGGCTGCTGCTGCTGCTGCTGCTGTGTCTGCTGCTGTATTTGCTTCTTCTGCTGCAGTTGTCGCTGCTGCTGCAGCCGCTGTTGCTGTAGATCCCGTTGCTGCATTCGCTGCTGCTAACACTGCTGCTGCTGCTACCACTGTGCTGCTGCTGCTGCTGCTGCTGCTGCAGATCCTGCGTTTCCTGTGCGCGTGTGCGCATTCCTCGATCTTGCTTCTTTTTTTGAATTTCTTTTTAATTTAAAAAGAAAATAAATTTAAAATTAAAAATAAAAGTTATTTGTTTGCTTCGACTCAGGCTCTGGCGCTGATGCCTTCAGATGCAATGATTTGCCTCATCACTTTCGGGGCCATGTGCATGCTCCACGAAATTGCAGACGGAGGAGAATACAACAAAGTTCATGTTTTCCACGGATCCAGAGACCTTTCTTCAGCTAGTGTGAGGGTTTAGGGTTTAGGGTTTAGGGTTTAGGGTTTAGGGTTCAGAGTTGGGGTTTTAGAGGTGTCAGTTCATGTTTTCCACGGAGCCAGAGACCTTTCGTCAGCTAGTGTGAGGGTTTAGGGTTTAGGGTTTAGGGTTCAGAGTTGGGGTTTTAGAGGTGTCAGTGCATGTTTTCCACGGATCCAGAGGCCTTTCTTCAGCAAGTGTGAAGGCTTAGGGTTTAGGGTTTAGGGCTAAGGTTTGGCAAGGCTTAAGGCTTAGGGTTTAGGGTTTAGGGTTTAGGGTTTGGGGTGTTTTCAGATTCAGCAGCAGCTGGGACTGGGTGGGGGCGCTACTTATGCTGCTCCCCGCGGCAGCAGCAGCAGCAACAAATGCCCCTGGCTGCCTCCAGCAGCAGCAAGATTTATTCAGTCTGTGGGGGACTGCGAAGCAAAAGTTTCCTTCATTTTGGAGTCCCTGAAGAAGGACTACTGGCCAGTGCCAGCAGACTCAAGGTGAGGGTTTAGGGTTTGGGGTTTAGGGTTTAGTTCGAATGGACCCTTTTAAGCTTTAATTATATCTTATTATTTGCTATTTCGTTTTATTTTATTTTGTTTTCTTCATTTGATTCACATTAATTGCATTTTATATTTGTTTCAGTTCGTTTAATTTGCCCTCTTTTGAACACGTAGTAGCGGGGGTTTGCAAGACCCAGCTGGAGTTTGTTCTCAATTCAACTTTTTTATTTCGGAATTATTTGAATTGGAGTTATTTTTGATTTATTTTTTAATTATCGTTTCTCTTCTTTTTTTCATCTTTTTGCATTTTGGTTTCTTGGTTCCGATTAATCTTGCATGTTTTGGAGTTGTCTGAATTGCAATTGCTCGGAATTCCTTGATTTTAGCGGCATTTTCGCCGCTTTTTGCATATTTTTATTTTAAATTATTATTTATTTCTCTTTTTTCGAGTTTATTAATTACTTCTTTGAGTCGAAAATGCACTGGATTGATCAGTGTTGCCCAGCCGATCAGCCTGTTCAACTTTTTTCCCATTTTTTCGCATTTTTTCCGCGTTTTTCCGCATTTTTTCTCCATTTTTCCGGTTTTTTCTCTTTTTCTCTCTTTTTTTTTGCATATCCGCCATTTTCTCCATTTAAAGACCCAAAAGATGCACCGGATTGGCCCTTTCGGTGGCTCTGGCCCTCATAGAAAGCTGTTGGTTGAATTTGCCCGCAAGGATCATGCTGTTCACCGGGGGCGTCTGCACCACGGGTCCCGGCCAGGTGATTTCCTGCATTTCTGCATTCTTTTCTTCGCTTTTTGATTAAATTAATTCTTTTCTTTCCCAATTTATTAATTTGCGAATTTCCAAACGAAAGATCAGTTGTCTTGGGCCTCATTTACTTGCTTAATCGTCTCGTTTTCGCCCCCAAACAGCCTGCTGCTGCTGCTGCTCGCGCCGCTGCTGCTGCTGCTGCTGCTGCTGCTGTCGCGGGGAGCCGCTGTTTTGGGGTTTAGGGTTTGCGTTTTTTGCAGATTGTGGACTTGCCTTTGGCGGAGTCAATTCGCCACCACTTGGACCTCCAAAAGGACAATTCTAATGCCCGATTTGTCCAAAAAGCTCTCAAGTTTTACGCATTTCTCGCAAACCGCGCAGTGCGGGCTGGCTGCGCCATAGACATTTTCGCCTGTTCTTTGGACCAGGTGGGTTTGGGGTTTTTTAAGTTCCTTTTCTTTTCCAAGTGCTTTTCTTTTCCAAATTAGTCAATTTTAAATTACTTTTCCAATTAATTCAAAAGGAAATGGACAAGCTCTTCATTTATTCACGAACTTGTGCCTAGTTTGACTGAGTTTCAATTACTCAGCCGCTTGGGCCACTAGCTAGCTGGCTAGCTAGCTAGCTCGCTGGGGAGCTAGAGAACTAGCTAGCTAGCTAGCTAGAGAGCTAGCTAGCTAGCTAGCTAGCTAGTAGCTAGCTAGAGAGCTACCTAGAGAATTGATTTTGCGAATCAGATGTGTGTAGCTAGCTAGCTAGCTAGCTAGCTATTAGCTAGCTACAGAGCTATCTAGAGAATTGATTTTGCGAATCAAATGTGTGTTTAGTTTTAAAGCATTTACAAGAGAAAATCGTCTAGAGAAACTTATTGTTGCAATCGCCATTTTGTTTACATAATAATCCTAGTAGCAGCGACAGCAGCTACAACACCCAGGACAGCAGCAGCAGCAGCAGCAGCAGCAGCAGCAGCAGCAGCAGCAGCAGTGGGGCCCTTTTGTCTGTTGAATTCTTTTGCCATTCAGGTGGGACTTTACGAAATGAAAGTAATGCCGGAGAAGACGGGAGGCGCTGTGGTGATGGCCGATTCTTTTTCTTTGAATGTTTACAAAGACAGCCTCAGGAAGTTCTTCGAGACAGACTCAACCGGTGAGACAGCAGCTAGCTGGCTAGCTAGCTAGCTAGCTTTAGGGCAGGCTGGCTAGCTACTTAGAGGGTTGGCTAGCTAGAGAGGAAGAGAGCTAGCGAGAGGGAGGTAGAGAGCTAGCTAGCTAGCTGGCACTAGGGCAGCTAATGTGGCTAGCTAGCTAGTGGGGTGACTAGCTAGTCAGCCAGCTAGCTCATCACCCAGGAAACTGGCTAGTTACCTCCTCCAGCTCCCTCCATCAGCACCTATTTATCAAGCTAGCTAGCTATCTAGCTAGCTAGCTAGCTATATAGTTAGTTAGCTAGCTATATAGCTAGCTAGCTAGCTAGCTAGCTAGCTACGTAGCTAGGTACATGGCTAGCCAGGTAGCTTTTGTTGTGTGCATTGGCGGCTTGGGCTTCCAGAACTTCCAGAACTTGGTGCTGAGTGGCTTCGAGGTGTTGGGGGTTTAGGGTTTAGGGTTTAGGGTTTAGGGTTTGTGTGGTTTGGTGGTTTGTTTGTGCAGGGTTTCTTCAAATGGGCTTCAACGCGCGAGTGGAGGTTTTGTGCAGCAAAGAGTTTAAAGTCTGCGGGGCGATTGGCCCGTGCACAAGTGCGTCGTTTTTGCAGTTTTCTGGCGGATTAGCTCGCCGATCTTTCGATAATTGCGGACTTAATGCATCAATTATGCAATTAATTGTTCAATTAGTTCATTTAGAGTCACTTATTTCCCCTTTTTCCCGAATTAAATCGAAAAAGATTCGCAAAAGTCCGCGTGGCTGTTGCGGGCTCGCCGCGGCTGCGGGTTTTGCAAAAGTTTGCTCTTGAGCGCGTTTTGTTCGTTTTTTTGTTTCTTTTTTCGAAATTATTATTATTTTGTTTATTTCTCTTTTATTTTTCTTTTATTTCTCTCGGATTTCGCCGTAGGCACCAACAAAAGAGGCGCGCAGGTGTCGGACTTGGCCATTGGAGAAGGCGCGACTTCCGAGTGGCAGGCGGCGGCGCTGGACAAGGAAACCACGCTGGCGTTTTACTTCGAAGTCACCAACCAACACCATTCCAACTTGCCTCCAGGTGATTTATTTTCCAATTTATTTGTTGACAAACTTTCCAATTTGTTTTCCGGTTTGTTTCCCGATTTATTTCCCGAAAAACTGCGAGAAATCGGCGAAGTTTTGGCGGTTTTCGGTGGAGCTGGCCGGGAACTCCCGAGTGTCTTTCACCTGATTTTTCGGTTTTTTTCGGATTTTTCGGCTTTTTTCGGATACTTTTCTGATTTAAATTGCTCCAAGTTCCTTTTTTATTATTTCCGGCTTCTTTTTCTTTCCAAAAAGCCCCTTTTTGTCCTCTTTTCCGCCTTTTCCTCAGGCAAACAGTCCTTTCTCCAGTTCCAAACGTCTTACTTGCACCCCAGCGGCCGCCGCCGCCTGCGGGTCACCACTTTGTCTTACCGCTTTGCGGAACAGAGCCCTCTAGACATTGCCCCAGGTAATCCCAACTCACAGCTAGCTGGCTAGCTAGCTAGCTAGCTGTCTGGCTAGCTAGCTAGCTAGCTGTCTGGCTAGCTAGCTAGCTAGATGTCTAGCTAGCTAGATAGCTAGGTGGCCATCAAGCTAGCTAGCTGGAAAATTAACTAGCAAGGCAGCTAGCTAGCCTGTTGGATGGCCATTTAGCTATCCAACTGGCTGGCTGCCTAGCTTGCTAGCCAGCTAGCTAGCCAGCAAGATGGCCACCTAGCTAGCTGGCTAGTTAGCTGGCTAGTCGCTCGTCTCCGATTTTTCTGTGCATCTTGTCGCTCGCTCGCTAGCCGTCCAGCTAGCCAGCTAGCTAGCCAGCTAGCTAGCCAGCTAGCTTCCCAGCTAGCTAGCCAGCTAGCTAGCCAGCTAGCTAGCCAGCTAGGCATCCAGCTAGCTAGCCATCCAGCTAGCCATCCAGCTAGCTAGCCAGCTAGCCATCCAGCTAGCTTGCCAGCTAGCTTGCCAGCTAGCTAGCCAGCTAGCTAGCCAGCTAGCTAGCCAGCTAGCTAGCCAGCTAGCTAGCTATTTGCATTTGTTTGAAGGCTTTGACCAAGAAGCTGCAGCAGTTCTGACGGCTCGCTTGGCAGTTTTGAAAACTGAAAACGAAGAGGCCATGGATGTCTTGAGGTGGCTCGACAGAAAACTCATTCGGCTCGTGGCGAGGTTTGCTGGTGAGTTGTTTGTTTTATTTATTTTATTTTATTTATTTTATTTATTTTATTGTTTTATTATTTTATTTATCTACTTTGTTATTTCATTTATTTTATTTATTCTATCTGCTTTATTATTTTATTTGTTTTGTTTATCTTATTTATTGTATTTATTTCATTTACTTTATTTATTCTATTATCTTATTTATTTATTTTATTTATTTTATTTATTTCTTTTATTTACTTTATTTATTCTGTTTACCTTTGTTTTTTTCTATTTATTATTTAATTTATTTTGTTTATTTTATTTGTTTTATTTAATTGTGTCAATTACATCTTTTGTTCTATTTATTTGCACAAAAGTGAAGCTGATGGCTTGAGATGGCTTGACAGAAAACTCATTCGACTTGTCTCGAGATTTGCTGTTGAACTTCTTTATTTATTTATTTTATTTATTTTATTTGTTTTATTTATTTTATTTATTTTATTTATTTTATTTGTTTTATTATTTTATTTGTTTATTGTATCTTTTAGTTTCATTTATTTGCACAGGGAGGCCATGGATGTCTTGAGTTGGCTCGATAGAAAACTCATTCGACTCATCGCCAGATTTGCTGGTTTTGCAAGTTTCGTTCATTTATTTTGTTTATTTGTTAATTTATTTATTTTATTTGTTTTATTTTATTTATTTTATTTATTTAATTTATTTGTTATATCTTCTAGTTTTATTTATTTGCAAGTTTTATCTGTGTTTAATATATGTTTTTTGCTTTGTTTATTTGGTAGATTGTGTCTATTTGTTAAATCTTTTTCCATTTTTAATTATTTGAAAGTTTTATTATTTGATTTGTTTGGTTCATTTGTTTTGTTCTTACTCCTTCTTTTGTTTTGAATCTTTTTCATATTTGTTTTTCATATTTATTTTCTTGTTGTGCTTGTTTGTTTATTCATTTGCGCGAAAGTACTTTTCTTTATTTACATGTTTTATTGTTTATTTATTTCTTTGATTTGTTTAATTCACTTGGTTTATTTGATTTCCACACTTTTCCATTTTCGTTCCTAATTAATTATAATTAATTAATTAATTAATTAATTAGTTACTTAATTAATTAATTAATTAATTAATTAATTGATTAATTATGTGTTTAGGGTTTGCTAGGGTTTAGGGTTTTTTAGGGTTTATGGTTTCTCAGGGTCTAGGGTTCCTCAGAGTTTCGGGTTTGCTCGTGCTTGCTAGTGCTTGTTGGGGTTA